ACACACACACACACACACACACACACACAAATAAATTAATTAATTAAAAAAAATAATAATGTAACCTTTTCTGGTTGGCCCATGCACTTGATCTTTGAATTTTAATTGAAATTCCAGAAATCCAGGCATGTATCTTAGAAGCTTGATCAACACCTTTACTGATGTTGGATTGCTCACAAAGTGTTTATTACCCTCATTGTCACTCCTGTTGCTAGATGTACAAGCATGCTTCAGGTCACACACTGTAAATCCCTGCAACTCTTTCACAAATTATATAACAGGGAAGAGCTAAATAGTCTTGTACTATGTATGCACAAATTCCAGGAAGCCCAGTATACTAATTAATACCATGAAGTGAAAGTAGGGGAGCCAGGTATGGTGGTACATGCCTATAATAGCAGCACTCAGAAGGTTGAGATAGGAGTTCAAGACTAGTCTGGGTTATATACTGAGACCCTGTCTCAAAAAGAAAAAGTGGGTAAAAGCTTCCACAAGGAGAATCTCTCTACATTAGTCTTAGATTTCTATGGCAAGACAAAATTTTATTCCATCAGTTCATGTGATTTCTAGGTGCCCCCCCTCAATTGTTTCATTTTCAAACTCCAGGGCCTTATCCCATGCCAAGAGTACATTTTTACCTCAGAGCTTTACTGAATATCTCTCAATCATATTTTAGTTATGACCAAAGAGAAACAAATGGCAGAAAGGATTCAGGACAAACAGAGAATGTAAGATTAATTTGGAATCCAAAATAAAATAATACAAATGAGTTTTTCTCTGAGGTGAACTCAATGTGGTTATTCTAACATAAAGAATATTGTGAATTACCATACTGCATCTGTCTTAGTTCTTTTGTGCTGCTGTAATAAAATACTAGAGCATGTAATTTATAAGGAATAGAAATTTATTTCTCACAATTCTAGAAGTTGGAATATCTAGGATCAAAGTATTGGCAGGTTCAGTATCTGGGAATAGCCATCTCTTTGCTCCCAAGATCAGATCTTGTTACTACATCCTCTGAAGAAGATAAACTATGATCTTGTTACAGGATAGGAGGTCTTGAACAAAGAATTGAACAGGACAGCCAAAAGGAACAGTGAGGGGCTGGTGAGATGGCTCAGTGGTCTAAAGCACCTACTTAGAACAAGCTTAGCAAAGCATCAGGGACCGCGGTTCAATCCCCCAGCACCACATGCCAGCCAGCCCCGCCCCCTGGTGGGCTGAGCTGGCCACACACACACACACACACACACACACACATAAATAAATAAAATTTAAAAAAGGAACAGTGAAACCGAAGATGTATTAGAATGAATATATACTCCACAGGATGAGAATGGGCTAATGAGAAAAACCTCACTGCCCCAAGGAGGCTTGGTGAGGTTTTTAAGATTGGGGTGGGATTGAGGGGTTGGTCTGAAGTTTTTGCGCCTGCCTATGAGCAGCTTATTTGTGCCCTTCTGTTATCATTTATGTCTAAACATCTCCCTAAAGCCTCATGACAGAAAGAATCCAGGACAAGTAGGAATGTAAGATTAACTTAGAATCAAAAATAAAAATAGTGAATATAAATGTGCTCAGTTTTTCTCCAAGTTGAACTCAATTTGGTTATTCTGACCTGAAAAATATTGTGAATTATTACAGTGCATCTGTCTTAGTTCCCTAGCACTGTTATAACAAAACACTGCAAACTGGATAATTTTTTAAATAATAGAAATGTATAGTTCTAGAAGCTGGAAAATCTAGGATCAAGACATGGGCACGTTTAGTCATAGGTGGGGCTTCGGAGAAATGGTTGTATCTAGTGTGTCTGATGCTGGGACTTAGTGTGTGACACTAGAATCAAGTGTGTGTCACTAGAATCAAGTGTGTGTGATTAGTGAATTAGCCCATTGATTAGTTTATCTTAGTTCTGGGTGTGGCTAATGGAAAGACCCACCGTGGGTGTGAGTGCTGTATGTAAGGACAGGTATCCTGGATAGACTAGAATGGACAGAAAGAGGGGTTGTGGTGCTTGCAGCTGCTACTTGTCTTCTCTGCCTCCTCTCTGCTCTGTGATACACCTCTGCCGTGTCGCTCTGCCTTGGAGCCTGCTGGTGATTGAATGAACCTCTAAAAACTGTAAGCCAAAATTAACCTTTCCTCCTTTAACTTTGGCCATTGGATCTTTTGTTTCAGCAACATGAACAGTAACTAAGACAACCGCACTGAAGAGGTGAAGTTTTTGACCTTTTATGGCACTTGGAGGAACTGTGATGGCATCTGTCTTAGTTTTGCTTTCTAGTGACTAGGACACAATAGTCAGGCCCACAATTTAAATGAGAGATTTATTTCGGCCACAGTTACATTGTGA